GTTTATTAATTCTAGATTTTAAGATGAAGAGTTGTAAAATAAAAAATACTAAGACTCATCATCGTAGAATTAGATGGGAGAACCTAAAAGACACTAATAAAATTATTTTTATAAGAAAAATTCAAGATTTCAAATTTTAGGATGTTCATGATGAAGCAAATGTCATGAGGGATAAAATAACAAACACTGTTAAACAAGTAGCAAAAGATGTACTTGAAAAATCAAAGAAAAATTTTTTTTAAATACAAATAGCTGATTTTGGAATACTATTGTGCAAGAAAAAATAAAATATAAGAAATTATGTTATAAAAATTGGTTTATATGTAAAAGCTTAGAGAACTGGGAAAATTATCAAATAGCCCACAGAGAGTCTAGAAGAACAATATGTGAGGCTAAAAATTCTACTTTTAATAATCTCTATAATAGATTAGATACTAAGGAGGGTGAAAAATATATGTATAAACTAGTCAAACAAAGAAAAAAGAAAAATAAAGATTTAACTCAAGTATAGTGTATTAAAGATGAAAATCAAAAAGTATTTTTCTTAGAAAAATATATTCAACATAGGTGGGTGAATTATTTTGATAAAATTTTTAATAAAGTTTCTGAAAATACGATCGACCTTAATGATCTTAATATCATTAATAATAATAAAACGTTTCATTTTTACCGTCGCATTAGTAAAAAAGAAGTTGAGAAGGCTTTAAAGAAAACCAATGGTGGAAAATCTGTAGAAACCGATGATATCCAAATTGTAGTATGAAAATGTTTAGAAGATTTGCGAGTTTCTTGGCTCACTAAACTCTTTAATATTATTTTAAAAACTAAAACGATGCCCGAGGGGTGGAGGAAGAGTATTTTAGTCCCCATTTTTAAGAATAAAAGGGATTCACAAGAGTGTGCAAATTATAGAGGAGTTAAGTTGATGTGTCATACTTTAAAATTATGGGAGAGGGTAATTGCACATAAGTTAAGACATATTACAAATATTTCTCATAATCAATTTGGATTTATTTCGGGCAGGTCTACTATGGAAGCTATACATTTATTGAGAAGTTTGATTGAAAAGTTCAGAGATAATAAGAAGAGTCTACATTTGATTTTTATTGAT